CACTCTTTCTCGTGCCCTCAGGTGCTCACGAGGACACCTCTGGGGCGACCCACAATCTGTCAGACGATGTGAGAAACCGGGGGCAGGTGTTACCCCCCAGGAGCTCCGTGGCCCCCAGCCCCACAGGGCCCCCCGACCGCATGTCCGTGAAGCAGTGCCTGCTGGCCATCCTCATCCTGGCCCTGGTGGCCACCGTCTTTCTCGTGTGCACTGGAGTGCTGGCCGTCCGCCTCTCCCGCAAGACCCACACGTACCCCGTGCGCAATTACTCCCCCACGGAGATGGTCTGCATCTCGGCCCTGCTGCCCGAAGGAGGCGAGGGGCCCCCCGCCACGGCCAACGGGGGCGTGCCCAAGGCCAAGAGCCAAGGCCTGCTGGAGTCCGGCGAGGACCGTGACGGGGATGACCTCACCCTGCACAGCTTCCTCCCCTAGCTCCGCCTTCCCATCAGCCTCCTTGCTCCCCGAGGGGCCCACCAGGCCCCACGGAGCTTCCAGATCTCAGTTCCACATGTCTGGGTTTGGAGCCCCCCGGGGCGGGCATCTCTAGGGAAAGGACCCTCAGCTGCCCCAAACAGAACCAAGGGTCCAGCAGTCAGGGTCCAGCAGTCAGGCAGGGCTGGGGCCACCTCCTGCTTTGTTCTCTAGCGCAGCACGGCCACCTCCAGGCCAGGACATTCCTGTCCCTACCTGGTCTGGGTCCCCCTAACACTCCCTGCTGCTGACCTCCCCCCCAGGCCACTGGTTTCACCCCTATGCACCAAGGAAGACTGAGTTCCCACGCCCACCGCCATGCTGGTGGCCATGGTCTCTGGACAGGAAGGGGCGATTAGACGGGCCAGAGAGCAGAGAGCAATGGCTTCCCCACCATTTCCCGCTGCTCCGACTGGGGGCCGCTCGGGCTTTCTCACGTACCTTTCTGGAGAACCCTGGGTGAGGCCTCAGTGTGTGAGGCTGGGGTGTCTTTCTTTCTTTCTTTCTTTCTTTCTTTCTTTCTTTCTTTCTTTCTTTCTTTCTTTCTTTCTTTCTTTCTTTCTTTCTTTCTTTCTTT